AGGCCAATGGCATCCTGGCTTGTGTCAGCAATAGCGTGGCCAGCAGGGACAGGGAAGGGATCTGACCCCTGTACTCGGCACTGGTGAGGCCGCCCCTCGATTCCTGTGTTCAGTTTTAGGTCCCTCACTACAAAAAGGACATTGAATGACTCGAGCGTGTCCAGAGAAGGGCAACGAAGCTGGTGCAGGGTCTGGAGCACAGGTCGTACGGGGAGCGGCTGAGGGAACTGGGGGTGTTTAGTCTGGAGAAGAGGAGGTTGAGGGGAGACCTCATCGCCCTCTACAGCTACCTGAGAGGAGGGTGCAGAGAGCTGGGGATGAGCCTCTTTAACCAAGTCATAAGCAACAGGACAAGAGGGAATGGCCTCAAGTTCCCCCAGTGAAGGTTTAGACTGGATATTAGGAAGCATTTCTTTCCAGAATGGTTTGTTAGGCATTGGAATGGGCTGCCCAGGGAGGTGATGGGAGACCCAATCCCTGGATTTGTTTCAAGAATAGGGTCGACTTAGCACTTGAGGGAACTGTCAGTGTTAGGTTAATGGTTGGACTGAATCATCTTCTAAGTCCTTTCCCACGTAGATGATTCTGTGAAAGTGTTTCAGGCAAACACACTCATGAAAAAAATCACACCTTTGTAGCTATTGTGAACAGCATTTAAGAACAGATAGTATGTATACACAGTTATGTAAAGCAACTATCTTTTTACAAATGCGTGTGTACAGTATTTTGGCTTGCAGCAGCACTGCAGAGGAGCAAGTAGAAGGATATTCACTCTCTGCAAAGCCAACTGCATTTTTCAAATGCAGAAAGACAGAAAAGGCAGGCTTGCCCACCATTTCTTTTACCAGTTGTCAAAGCAGTACTACTTTATCTTCCTTAAATCTTCAAGGCAGTTCCTGTAGGGACATCTTGACTATGTAGTAACAAAAACACTCCAGCAAAGAGGTAATACCCTAGAGCATCTTTAAGAAAACATATCTGGAATTACTGCATGAAGGGTAGAAAACTAGATACAAAAACAAGTCACTAAAAGTTCATCTTTAAGATCTCTGCCATCTAACATCCATTATCCTCAGTTAATCACGTTTTTCCCACATCTGTCATCTTAGAATCATGTTCTTCACGTGGCTCCAGTTCTTCATCTGGTTGTGGTGAAACTGGAGTTTTATCAACCTCAAGAAAGCAGTCATGCCTCAGCACCTGCTCAGCAGTTGGTCTGTTACAGCAGAACAAACTCAGGAGAAGAGATTTAACTGTATCATCCTACAAACAGAGGGAGAAATATTTCATAAGTAAACCAAGCTCAATTACAAACAACAACTAAGTATTTGATGAACAGTCTTCTAAGTGCTTAGGGTCCAAAGCCCTCACAAAAGGTTGTACCATAGCATTTCCCAATGGTCAGCAACACTTGACACTTTACTCATTAACAAGATAAAAGCAAGTGTTCAGCACCAGGTCTGTCAACCTGGTGCCAGCAGACTTACACTCTTCTGTGAAGCTGTTCAATTTTAAAATACCAATTCACTGAACTACCATAAGTTACAGAAATACTGAAGCTCGTCTTTCTACTGAGAAGGAAGAAAACAGGTGCCACTCACCTTCTACAACTTCATCTTTTAAGTTCTGTCATATTGCTTTATCTCTCTACAAGAGCACAAGAAAACAAAGTAAAGTAATGGGCCCTAAATCAACAGCAGCTGCTTTGCTATTAACCCATCACTTATGCTTAGGCTTTTCGAATTTATCAGAAGGGATTACATACAAAAATGCTTAGCACATTAACAGTGCTAGACTCCATACACAAAACCAAACCACAGCTGCTACACTTACGCATAAACATCACCTGGTGAGGAAGGAAGAGCACACAGTGGATTTGGACAGGGGGACTGCAAGACAGACAATTGCCAAGACTGATCTCAAGATGTACATTACCAAAACTCAATGGGACCAAAATCCTCCCATAAGGGGTCTGGCTTGTTCACAGTCTACCAACACAGCAACACCTCTGACCAGGGACAAACAAAACAGCAAAGTACAAGAATACCTGTACACCTCTCACCTATGCCCATTTCACCCAGACCAAAGAATCATTGTGATGCAGAGAAATGCACACAAGTAGTCAAAAAATAGAAGACAGAAATAAGCAGACAATTTCCAAGTCTTCCACTAATTATCAGAGTGACTCTGGAGAATTAGCCACTCCCCAAATCTGCAATCTAGGTGAAAAGATGAGATCTGAAAACAGTTGCTCTTACAGGTATAAGAAATTGTTAAATGTTTATAAAACATTTAAAATGCTTGAAGAAAAATCTTTAATTAAGAAGATCTAAACACATGCAATGAAATACAGGAGTGAAACATCACTACACACTTCCTCTGCAAAAAGTAAAGAAAGTCAGAGCATTTAAAGAGCTTGATAAGCTTTATATTTGTGTATTTGCATTTCATTGTATTATCAAATGTCAGTCAACAACAAATATCCCCTTCTCACCCTCTTTTTGCACTAAAGAAACTGAAAATTGATTTCACAAAGAATACTGCTGTAGGACAAAATTTCAAAATTTCGTCTACTCCATTCCATTGTGCTTGCTCTTATTTACTTTTTTAAAAAAATAAATATGTAAAACTGGATGCTGAAACACACTGAACACTGAAGCCTGGCATGGCAAAATGAATGGCTATAAGAGCTTGTCTCTAAACTTTGCTTTTCCTCAACAGTTACCTAACATTAACTACCCCATTTCAAAGCTTAATGTTATTTTCCTGTGGCAATTTTACATTTGCTGAAGACAACAAAAATTTTACTAGTTGCAAGTATGCAATTCCTCTGGGCATGAGACTGAGATGGAAGGGAAATTACCAGCCAGTCAAGAGTCTGCAGATGGGCATGGAGATTAATTCTGAGTAAGCCGATTATAGATAAAGCACTTAAAAGCAAAATAGATTTTCCCCAAGAACAGGGACAAGGATTAACAGCCAGAGGTCTAAAAGATCCCCCAAGAAACAGCTGAATTTTTTTTTTTAATATTGCATTTCTTAGTAAAACCCTCATGTGTGTTCCCATGCACTGCAGGCAGCACAGACTGCTTTCCAGATTCTGGTGGCTGGTGCATGTGCATGCACACACATCCAGAATGAATCCTTGAAAACTGCAAAGAATGGTATGTTGATTAGCACTGTATCACCTGACAAGGTCAAAAATCAAATACTGGTTCTTTTCATCAGGGAAAAAAACTGAAAAAACCCTTGCTCTTATTAGAAGCTGTAAAATTAATGAATCCCTGGCTAGGAACAATAATGGCTAAATTAATTAACTGTCCTTGAAATAAAGGCAGCTGTTTGCACTTCAAAAGCTACCTGCCACAGAAGAACATAGAAGTACAACACCCTGAAAGTGGCCATTTAAAGTTTGACTTGCATACATCAGACCTTATTTGTAAAGCATTAGCACAGCAGGAATTTTATGTAAAACAGAAGTGAACCAACTCTAATTTTTAATACCCCAAGAAATCTTTTCTAATTCCTTGAACAGTTAAGTTTCTCTTATACATGAGAGAAAGTTGGGTTTCAGTATCTCAAGATTATTATGCATAATCTTGAATGATGTGCTGGGCAACTGTCTGTACAAATTCTGTGGAATACATTTAAAACCCCCTAGTTAGCCCTAATGGTGAATCATGAAGCACTGAATCTTCTTTCCTATAATACTGTTTGTTTCATGAGATTCATTTAATTTTTAGTAAGAAGCCAAACAGCTATCATGATGAGAAGAAACACTATTTACAGGATCACCTCCCTGCTCAAATGCTGCATTTTTTTTTTTTTAATTTTTTTTTTTATTATTATTATTATTTTCCATGGTAGGGTCACACTGGAAATTATTTTGCTGAGGGATTTAGTAGACAGTCCTGTACTTTATCAGTAATGCTTTCATCACTGGAGAACACTGTTGAAATACAGTTATTAAAAGACATACCATAGAGGGTAAGAGTCATCTAATAAAACAAGATTATTTAGTGCTGTGTCATGCAGTGATCCACAAACTACCCTGCCTGGACACTGGAACCACTACAGCTGTGTTAGTCTGGTACTGTATATCATGACAGTTTCTTAACCTAAGCACAGTAAACAGGATACACTAAGATCATAATAAATTTAACTCTAGTAATTTAGCCCCATGCTTTAACAGTTCTTTCTGCTAAACAGACAAATCATTAATACACAAGTATAACAAATAAAGAGGGACTTATTCTTTGGGTTTCTTTTTCCCTTGACAAAACAAACCAAATTCATCTCACCAAAAGTAACGCCACTGCTTTGTTTCCAAATTTTCTATTTAATGTATTTTTCTACTTTTTTGGAAAGTACAGGGATTAACCTCTAACTCTTCCATATATTCCTTTGAAAATTCTACCCATAACCTAAGACTACATGAAAGTTAAGAGTCACCTGCTTGCAAGTTTTTTTTTAATAACAGTATAGGGCTTGACTTAGGGAGTTTTGTGGCCTTCTCAATCTAGATAAAGCAGTAAGTAAGCTCTCAAAGTAGTATCAACAGAATGATACGAGAAGCAGTCCATACAGATTAAAAAAATACAATGGCAATCCACTCAAGGGAGATGGGAGGGACACAGGACAAGAACAGAGCAGTCAGTAGTAACTAGACAGGCAGAAGCACAGCAAAATGTATGAAGTAGAAAGTCTGGGAAAGCTAAGGATTTGAAAAAGGTCCGTAAACCTCCCAGTGAATTTCTTTTAAACTATATATGGCGGCCTGTCTTATTCCAACTTTTATAAGGAGAAAAAGGCATCACCTGTTACAAAGGTATAAGAGGTTGAAAGCAGCCACAAAGAAAGGTCTTAACTCCTGGCCAAAAGGATGAAGGCTTATGGGAAAGAGTTACACAAGAAAATAAACCCAAGGAAAGACAAACACTCAGGTAACTAAGGCATACAGAGAGGGGGCCATAAAATTATCTGCTTATGAATAACAACCAAAAGATAGGTTAGTTAGCAAAGGATCAACTTCAAAGCTGGACACTTTAGTTGGGAAACATGAAGGCACACAGGTCTACTTATTCTTAAGGAGTCACTGAGACACTGGGAAAGGATCAGCTTCAAAAAAAAAAAAAAGGGACTGAAAATAGAGTTCGACAACAGTTGCTGACATAACAGCACACAAGAGAACAACAGTTAGGAGGAGAAAAAATGAAAGCAGCAACAAGAACTCCTATCATGCAGGGTCCATTTATATCTGTGTATTTGTTCCAGAGGCATAGGGAAGTTTTACATCTCACACCCAAAAAACCCAAACCAAAGAATAATTAAAGGGTACAAATACACTTTTACAACTGCATTTAAGAGATTAAAATGGAATTTGGCTGTTATAACACTCAAGCACTGTGCAATGATTATGTAGGAACAGATGAACAAAGTCAACTTCCCTGACTTCAGAAGAGACAGGTTCGTAATTCAAATCTCCTTTGGGGCTGAATCTCAGCAATTTATTCCCCAAGTCTAAAACTCGGGTGTCATTCAATTAATGGTTATCTGTAAAGAAGTTGCTCCTCCTGAGACTGGAGTTAAATATTAAAACTCAGGGTTTTTCTACCTTCTCAAATACAATTTTATTTGTGCATGCTATTTAGAATTATCCAAACAGTCAATTAGGAACATTTTATCAACCCAGCACTTACAATGCAATGTTTGACTTAAGAAAATAAAATCAATTAACCACCTCTAAACAAGAGCACTCTAATCTTCCTCATCTGACAATTCACATACCATGACAACCACATTGACCTCAGGTGTTCCATCTTCTTTTATGCTGAACTCCTGGTTTTGAACACAGAGCTGTAAATGAAAAGATACATAATGCATAACACTGGTGGGCTTTTTTCCTTTTAGTTTAACAAAGCCAAACATCAGTCAAGGAAATTCCAGGTTTCAAGTGAAAATGGATTGTTATAGGAAAATGGCAGGGAAATGCTTTTTTCCTCAACTTCACAGTAGGGTATAACATGTAAGGGGCTCAAGTTTCCCTTACATAGAAACAATGGGTAAAAAGTTAGTATCAGAAGACACACTGAGATCAAAAGAAGTAACACTTTTAAAAATATGACTCAAGGTCCATGCCTGATCTGTACCTTTAATTATATAATCCTCATTTAGAAATGCTGAGGGGTAAGCACACTCTTATCAGACAAAAGTGAAATTTCCCCCGTCTTTAATATTGTCTAGAACCATGCCCAAGTACAGCATTTTTCAGGTTAATCTGAAAATGCCTCTACTCTGACCAATTACAGAGACAGCAAAAGGAAACATGTTTAGTCAATGCTGGGTTCTTGTGACACAGAGCAGCAGAGAACTCGGAAAACCACTGTCTCAATTTTAGAAGTGGCACTGCTGTTTAATGAGAACAGAGTTTCAGCTGCCCAACATGAAACTGGCAACTGTCAAACACAATACTAACACTTGAGCTAAAATATTCCATCAAATGATCAAGACAACACCAAGTCCAAGCTGGATTAGTTACACATGGATTAATCTGAAATTCAGCTGGCAAACTTGGATAAGATTTCAGAAGAATGCTGATATTGTTGTGTCCCAGATACTCTCTTCGAGAAAAGCCAGACATTAATAACACTGCCTTTGCTTTTTGAGCTTTTTTACCTTTGTTTTACACTCACTTCTGCTTGTAAAAAACCTTTTTTATAGAACAGATGAAGATCTGAATAGTGGTACCGAAGGTGTTCTAACAGAACGACACCACATTAATAACCTATAAGGATCTATGATTAATTAAGCTACACTTTAGTTCATCTGTTTCAGTAGAAAAATTACTTGATTTGAAGCAACTGCTTCCTAAATTGGGAATAAAACATAATGGAAGAATGACTTTTCTGTGAACCAGCTTCATCTTCTAAACACCGGTAACTGACAGCAGCTACCTATCAACTTGCAGTTTACATCTCCGTTAAGAAGTGTTTCTAAGATGCTACAGCACAGAAGGGATTACTGAAGCCATCACTGTGCAACTGATGGAACTGCCAGTGTTTCCCAGGAAAACCCCCATGTACCTGGAGCTCCAACCAGTACTCAGTGAACCAGTTCCTGCATGTCAAGCACTCATGTGAAATCACTGCCTGGGAACATCAGCACTTGTTGGGCAGCCTGTGGCTTTTCATGTCTGGGAGATTTCAAGTTTTCCCATTCAGAACACATGGCACTGACACCCTGATTTGTGGAGGCAGCAATACAGTGCCAGAAGACGAAGATGGAAGAGATGATGTGCAACATACCACCAAACACAGGAAAGGAGATTGCTTTCTCCTCCCCAGCATAACACACACTAAGAAACGAAACACCCATCTAAGCACTGCTGCCAAAATCAAAACATATGACAGTCCCATCCTTGCCTTCATCTTTCCTCTCTTTATTTGGATACTTCCTCAGGAGCAAGGTCACAAAAAAAGAAAAAAGCTCACAAGGAATTAATAGGAAGTGCTGTAAGAACTGACAATCCATAGGATGAACAACAAAAGCATCATTTTTGATCACATTACAATACAAATTACATTGTATATTTTACAGAAAAAAATGCACAGTCTTCTGCCCATAATGGTAACTCCCATTTGTTCCACACTTACCTCTCAGCTGAAGATACGAATGCTTATTTAGCCAAAATAGTTCAAAGCAGAAGTTGGAGATAACATTTATTGTTCTTTGTAAACCTGCTACAGTTCCACTATATTACTAGAAACTCTCCCACAAGCCCTAACATACCCAAAACAGAAGGCAGCCGTAAGCATACATGTCAGAGGCTGGAGAAGCTGGCTGTCCCACTTTCAATTCAGGAGAAACTAAGCTCAGGGTACCAGCAACCATAGTGTTTGCAGCAGCACGTTCTTTCTATGGGGAGAAAAATTGTACCCATGATTTCAAGACCAAAAGCACGTGTCAGACAACTTTACCATAGAGTTCTGTGCTGACCCAGACTGAAACGTAAAATCCTCCTTTGCTGGTCACAAAAAAGTGTTGCATAAAGGAAAAAAAGAGATAACATCACACATCTATCATCTGTAACAGTAACAGAAGAATAGGGATGGCAGGTTCTATTCCACAGCAGAACTATTTAAGTTCATAAGGTGGTACAGAACACAAATTGAAAAACTTCTCAAAATAGAAAAAAAAAATTATAAATATTAAAAAACATTTAGCACTATTTTAAAGAACTTCAGCTCTAAAGTTCGGTTCTGTCAGCTTTCCTGTTTTTTCTTCTCTGCCTTTCTGGTCTTTACCTGAAACTAGTGCTTCCTCCCTCCTGGTTTCCAGCATATTTTAGGACTGTCTACTGTCAAAATAAAAGCTAGACCCTGAGTTTTTATCCTCTTTCATAACAGCATCCAGCGCCAGTTATAGCCAGACTGAAGAAGACTAGTCTCCAGACTGCCAAGAGTACTTGGTAACACATCAGTTACTAGCTCCACTCATGCATTTGTGATCATGCAGAAAGTACAAGCACTGAGCAGTACTGACACCCCTATAGCGAAGGCACAAACTGCATCCAGACTGTGAACCACTGGTAGAACTTTCCTGCTCAACCACACATGAGCTGCTCATTTCAGCACAGCCCATACCTGCAGGGAAGAGTAAACAGAGACAGTCTTCCTTAGCTCTTGCAATTTTCACAATGATACCATGTGTATTGAATATCACCTTTCAGGAAATTCAGCTGTCAAAAATTTTTAAAGCATCTCTCTGTTGAAGAACTGAAATTTATTTCAAGGGAAGCACACTTTGTTGTCCAAACATTTGAAACACATCATGAGATTAACAGATAATGCATTTTCAAAGCAAAAATAAGGGTTCTCAATGAAAATTAATGTCTATTAGGTTTATTATATTACAATATATATTAATGTATTTTAAATTAAATAAGCATGAAGCAGACCTCTAGCACAAAAATGGTTTAGCTCAAACATCTTGAGTTTAGAAAGTCAAAAAGGTGACTACAGCAGTGACCATTATTGGAGACTTTTACTATGTAAACACAATGAATAGCAAGAAAATAGCTTGTGTTCTTAAAGAATATAAGATTTTCCCCAAGAACAAGTATGAAAGTCTTTACTACAGAAACTGAGGACTACATCAGAAGTACATATAAATACAGGTATATGTAGGCAACATGTAAAATCCTGTCAATTTACCAAATACCGCTACAGACTAAAACACATACTAGAACCCCATTACCTACAAAATAAAGGCAAAGACTTCATATGAGTTTGACCAGCCCTTCTTCAAACATGAGTTCTGACTCTCGCCTCCTGATGCTGCTGATTACCATTAAATACACAAGACAGACAGCCAACAAACAACTAGTGCAGCTTCTTCTTTGTTCCACTGGTTTGCTTAACCAGAGCCCACACTCAGTAATTCTTTTCTTCCTCTCCAAGATTAGATTAAGTTTACAAAAACTTCAACAAGACTCAAACTGCCCAACCCTATCCGAAATATGAAACAGGAGTCTGACTGCAAAGCACAATGTTTATCAATAAACCTTTTGAATCACACAGTTGTCTGTTTTGATACAGAAAGTCACTAGAGGATTTTTTTTTACCTCAGATTTTGTGAAATCAAAGTCTGCAAGGACTCCTCGTTTCCGATTCACAGCAAAAACATTATTTTCATGCAAGGATCCATGTACTATATTAGCTCCATGCAATGTCTGTAGACCTTGCGCCACTCCTTTCATCACTTTTAATGCCTCCTAATGATTTAATTCGTACATTTAAAGATTGACATGGAAAAAACAAAGCACAGTATCAAGTAAGTTTCTATCCAGAACTGAAACTTTTTTTTTAAGGTTTGTACACATTCAAAGTTTATGCCAATTCCATTTTATGAAGTATGGATTAATTCCCAGTAAGATTATTATGACTTGCACAGCCGGGGAGGGGGGGGGGAAGAGGAAGAGTAATCACTGATTAACATATCACTAACATGAAAAAATATGGGGGGCCAAAAAAACCACAAACAAACAAAAAAAAAACCCAAAACACCACAAAACCACTTCCACATGCAACTGGGACTTTTACAAGTAGGTCCAAGTCAGCAAACAGAACTAGAGAAAAGACTTTTAGCTACTGCTTCTTTGAGAAGGGATGACTAACCAAACTGCCTACACTGTGTGGGGAAGAGGGAAAGGAAAAGGAGGGGGACAAAGTGAGGGAGAAAACGGGGGGGAAAAAAAATTTTTTTACACACACAGCATGCTCTAAAACTTCAATACTGAATGCCTGTCCCTGAACATACACATATTCAAATCCAGTACTTTTAAGATTTACTAGAAATACAGCTGAGGCATTAATTTTAATTTTTTAGAAAGTGTATCCAAGCAAAATCTCTTTTAGGAAGTTATAAAGAACTGCCTGACCAGATGCTAAGAATGCCAGTCAAGCTATCCTGTGCAACTTTGTCAGTCACTGTCAGCCACCAAAGGAAATACGGTGCTGATGCTGTTCCACCAGTATAAGATACAGCAAAACATTAAGAGTTCAGTTCAAACACATACAAAATAAAATGCTGACAGTCTAAGTTGTTATACTTACTTCTGAAGTTAAAGGTGTATCAGCTTGTAAAGCTCCCAGACTTGCTCTTGGGTAGTATGGGACCATTATATATACCAAAGGATCAGACTTCAACAACAACAACAACAACAACAAGGATAAATAATAGTTTCAAATATCAGGAATACTGGGAAGTTTAACATGCACTAGTGCAATAAATCAATTCATTATGTTTACTAAGTTTTACTCTGAAAGGAAATACTTTTCTGACTCAATGCTCCAACTTGAAATATGTTAAAACTTTAAGGTCCAACTTAAACCAGCTTAAGGTCAGCTTAAACCAGAAATCAAGATCATCAGTTTGAATCTTGCCTTGGAGAAAAGAAGGAACAACACTTGCAATAGTCCAGATTTCTCCTTCTGTTGATTCCAAGCTCTGTGATACTTGGCAACTCCTTCTATCACTCTGGCTTCTGATCTTACACATACAGAGTAGCCCTTAAAAACAACACAGAGACCCAAGCCATTATTTCTAATGCCTGTAACATTATTGAATTTTATTTTTTTTTAAAAAAAAGAAATGCATATTGTTAGGTGCCATCAAATAACTTTCTCTTAATTCTAATGCTCATAGACTGTTCCCATATTTTATTAACTCTCAAAAAGTCTGTACCAACAAAAGAGGAAGCATGTGTCTAATCTGAGATTTAAATAAAACAAGTCAAAAGCAAGAATATTCACAACTATGCTTCCTGTAATACTAAATCCCCTGTCTTCCCAATTGCTAGCAGATTGGTAGAGAAGCAGAGCAAGGAAAAAGCAGCAGTTCCTGAAATATCTGTCAAATCATCAGGAAGACAAGCCAGCCTCTCCAAAGAGACAGGAGTAAGGAACAGGATAAAACATCCATCAGGTACCAGAAAGAACAGACAGTAGAGGGGAAGCACTGTTCACTACAACAGTCCTCAACAGAAGTTTAAAAAAAATCTGGAAGCAATTCAGAAGGAAAACAATGTTTCACATTCTACAGGCCCTGACAAAACCTCTGCCATCAGAAAAGGGCTGTTAAATACAAGGATATGAAAACAGCGGAGTTCATTCAGAACCAGCATGCTAATAAGCCAAGGCCTCACCTGAAGTGCTAAGTGAAAGCCAGCACCAACATTACCTTTAAAAGAACCTTCTGGCCCTGAATTTCTAAACACACTAAAGGTCGCTTCATGCTCAGTTCCTTCATAGGTTCAGCATCCAAGAGGTCTCGCTCCAAGCTGCATGCCAAAAGTCCACCAGAACTCTAAAGCACATGGACACACAGATCCAGGGTAAGCACGTGGCATTTAACAGGTTAAGATTCAGAGGTTTTGACTACTTCTCCTCTTCCTCAACCATCTTAGCAAAGCACAAAACCAGCTAGGACATATTAAAAAGCATCTATTACCAAGAGGCTGGCCATGATAAGGCAGCTAATGAAATGCATTCCTTGAACATCTCCCAGAAGAAGGGGAGGAGGAAGACCACAGTGTTCAGGGTGTATGTCCCCCAAATGAAGAGAGGCTGTGCAGAGCATTTCGGGTGCAGAGCCTTGATAGTGTCCAAAATAATAACTGACAGTGCATTCAAACAATCTCTGCTTACCATATAGTTTAGAATTCCTAATTCTGGATAAAGAAGTGGTAACTCAGGCAACCATTTTTGTACCAAGTATGTAAGCTTCTCCTAAATGAAGGAAACAAAGCCCACAGCTTCAGGTCACTAGTTTCTGACATTTGCAATGTATACCCAGGACATTCAAATGTATATTGACCATGACTGTACCTCCTTCAACAATATTATTCAAAGTAACACTGCCAAAGAAAAACCAAACACACAACAAAGAATACAGCAATACAATACAGACAGATTTCTGACATCTCTTGAAGGTGGGTAGTCTTAAGGCCTCGAACAACTCATGCACTATCACAGAAAACATTATCTTTTCTAGAAGAGACTTTAGTAGGCCTAAGCAAAGGAAAACAACTTCATTACGCTAAGTGGGGAAAGATAGAAATCAAGTAGTAACACAGACCAGGCCAGCATCTCATATCTCCAGACCTCACACAGCTGTAATGCTGATAAGCATTACACACAAATGTTCTATCTGCAAAGATAGATATATCACCACCACAAATTCTGGTGCCCTTCTACTCCCTCACAAGCAAATGGTTTTCATTTCTTACCTCCATATAGAGGACACAGAGAAAAGGTGATCTCCTTCACTTCAGGATAAAAGCCTGTTTTAACCTAGTCATAAGGAAACAACCCCCTTCTTGCAAGAAATACAGTCTTTCTTCAGCACCCGAGCTTACAATTTTACCTGTGGCTCTTCTAAGTGGAGAACTACAGCTCACATTTTTTTTTCTCACCTCATCCCCTTACGTAGGAGGAGAAAGGTTTAAGAAACTATACTCAAAGATAAAAGTGATCAGCCTCCATGCCTTCTCCCATAGGTTTCACCAAAGAAAGGGCCATGTTAACATTCAACATAAAAATCACATTTTTTGTTTTACCCAGAGTGCACATTAAAGCAATTGAAATGCTGATGTGCTTCATACAGGTTGGGTTTAGTCGCTTAAGTAGTTTAATACTTACATATTCTTCTTGTTCCTTGGATATTTCCTGAAGAACCCTATTTTGCAGATCAGCAATTTCCTCTTTTATTCTTTTCATTTCAAACTCACTGCAGTCAGACTGCTTTAGGAATAACAAAGTTAGTGTATAATTCTCATTCTGCTATCATACTATACAGTAGCTTACTGTATCAGGATTAAAAAACAGCTTCCATATCACAGTTCTGGAGTTGAAAATATTCTCAGATGCGCATTTTACTCAGTCTCCTTCCTGGAAACCCAAGAGATTCTCTTAAAACCTAATCTCTGAGGAAACTGTTCACTGCTATTTGTCACACACCAAATATTCTAGCCATTTGCCTACTTGTTTCCTAAGTCAAAGAGCTTTTTTTTTAATTACCTAATCACATATAGTAAAAGCAACATCATTCATCTGCCAGCAATGCCAGGTTCCGTAATTCATTCACTTTTTTCTCCCATAAGCAGGCATTTTCCTCATGTCACCTCATTATTCAAGAATCCTTTTCTCAATGGGTTTCATTAGCGTGTCGCATTTTAAATCCCTCCTGGAAGCTTACTGCCCCTTTACAATGCTTACAGAGAGACAGATGCAGGTTCTTTTTCCTTAAGCATGACCAGAATAATTAACGTGCAATCAAACAGCACTGAAGCAGGGGTAATATTTACATTCTTTGGACTTCTCTGAAGGGTAGTGGAGAACTCTGAAAACTAGAACAGACACTGACTTCTGTCATCAAAGTGGAGGTACACAAATTGTCAACAAAGTAGAAACTTAAAAGTAATCACACAACTAGCATTGAGAGAGATGGACAAAACTGTTCAACCGTCACCACAGGGCTTAGTTAAAAGCACAGTGCCATGACTGGGGACTGAAAAGTGGCTATGGACTGACCTTTTTAAGCCATTCAGGCTTCATCTCAGGGGCCTGTAAAACTTCCACAGTTAAAGGCAAAATTCAGGCCAGAAAACAAACTGGTCCATGTAATTATCACTTATATGGAATAGACAAAAATTGAAGTTTCCAAACAAATTTTAAAAACAACAGACAGAGCCAACAAACTGTAACATTTTCATACTTCCTCAAAGTTGTTCTTTTCAAGCAGCTTCTGTCTTAACTGGGACTTTAAGCTCTTCACAGTTTCCTTAATTGATAATAAGTTTTTAATATTGGGTTTTCTATTCAGCCATTCCTCAGCAAGTTTTTTGAACTAGGAGGAAAATGTAAAAAAAGTTGAAAATCAGAAAGTGTTCAAGCATTCTATATTAATATGCTTTAGTCCAATACATTACAGAAACTGCCTGAAGCCTACCTGAATTCAGCTTTTCAGGGCCCTTCCCTGAATAAGAGGGTTTTAATGGTCTTTCATTTTAATTACATTAACAGCCTTCTGAAAAACCAACATTCTACTTGAAGTTCAATCCCCTTAAATTACATTGTACTGATTTGGAATGAGTCCAGAGATTTCAGCTTCCACTGCTTTATTTTTTAAAAAAAGTATCTCTGTGTTTAAATAAAATGAAGCACTGGCTGAGGTAATGCACAACTGCAATTGTTAAGGTTTAGCCCAACCAGTCTCTCATCACCAACGTACTCCTAGAGTTTCCTTATAGAGAGATAAGAGGACATCTTTCATAAATAATGTCAGAAATGGCTACTAGTATAGATTAGTGTGTCAGAAATAAGGCATAAACTCACCTCAATGCTGGCCATGTATCTGTTCTGTATGACAGTGATCATATTTTGCTCCTGATTAACTTTATGTATAACTTTATTGTAAGCGCTCATAATTATACCCTTCTCTGCTTCATCGTGCTCCTAGATTTAATTACACAGAGGGAAATTAAAGAGTGAGAGTCATTCTTCATTCATACACACCAACATTTAAGACGTAAAACCTTTATTGAGAAATTCCATTGTTAATGGGAAAAAAACCAAACAGTTAGCAGATTTTTCTCTCTTCTTAAAGAGATTCTAAAAGGGAAGTTAGCAAGTCTAAGAGTTCATCCAATAGTTTCAATAGAATAAAACTGATTGGCACGTCCATGCAGAAGTCCAATTTCTTACTCCACATGCTGTGACAATTTTTTTTTAGGATAGCACAGTTAAACAGTTAGAGTCACTGGTTCTATCACAGAAAGCAGCCACAAGCAGACTAAACTAATGGTTTGCTGTTAGTATGATGCTACATCAAATGATGAGTTCAACTTTTGCTGGTGTGGCTAAACTCCGGTACAGTAGGGACTCTCATTGCAGAGACAATGGAAGTATCTCAGAGTTAGCAAAATAAAATGGAAGAAATGTTTAGAGAAGATAAATAACTGGGAAAAGACTAACAGAAGCATAGAAAATTATTATCAGTAAGGCAAGAACACTTGCCCCATGCAAAATGAAAGCAGTTAAAAACAATTCATCTCATAGGATTGGAAAAAAATTATCCATACACACTCACCCCGAGAAGCAATCCCATTATTTTAAACAGAAACTTACTTTTCATCATGTGTTTTCAACAAATATACCAAAACTCAGTACAGTTAAGAGAAAGCTTCTCTGCACATAGAAAAGGAAAAATGAATTTCCCCAGTTTCTTAGCTAAGCCATATATATAGCTTAGTTAATTCATACACACAGCCAAGTTCCTGTAAGCCAAAGCTGTTTGCTGCCACTTTCTCTTCTCTCTGCGGAGCAGCCTGAGTGAACTTCTATCACATTGCCATCAAAAAAGATGCTGCCTTGTAGCAAATAAACTCATCCGATACATTAAGAAAAGCTTTAAACTGAAATCAAAGATGTATAAAATATATAGAAGTCATGACACAGCAGGCCTGATTAGAACTTACATTTAAGTCAGTACTCAGTTCTTCACAAATAGCCAACTTAACATTTTTGAAAATTTCATCCGCACTGCCAACCACTTCCGCCGAATTTGAAGATGCTTCTGACATCATGTCAAAGTGCTTCGAAGAGATAAAAAAAACACCAACAAAACAACAACAAACAAAACAAAACAAAAAACAGCCTTGAAATTGTAAGTAAGAAGTTAGCAAGCTGACATGAAAAACAAGAAAGAAATACAAAGAGTTAGCACTCCTGGAAACCTAGTCAGGATTTGTGTTAGATCTCGAACTGCCTCACACTGGAGTGATATTAATGACTTCTAGAACTAACAGAGTTAGTCTAGCAGGCATGAAGGAAGTTGATTCTTGCCTTCATCAGGTTTTATTGTCCTAGTCTCGTTTTGAGTTTTGCCAAAAATGAAACAGTGGAAGAATCCCAATCCTTCTCCTATTGAGATTCATGTCAAAAATCAACATGTGTGCCGTCCATACAGTGATACACAAGACGGCAGTTTCACTGTCAACTGGGCTTTCCATTCCTATATAGTACTACCCGAGATAGAAGACATCTCGGGGATCTATTTCACAGTTTATCAAGTGTGAAATAAGGTTAAAGGTTTCACCAGGCAACCCTATGTGTTTTTGTAGAAGTCAGATATAACTTTAGCTTCAAGATACAGAGGGTGCCACATAAAAATCAGTAAGATATAATTACACTGAATGTTGTTTGCAGCAGTTTTGTAACTCTTATCTGCAGAAGAGATACACTGGCAACCAGAACTAAAATGAAAATACGGTCCTGTATTTAACATACAAGATACACAGTTGTAATAGAAACCTGCAAACTCCACCTTGTTCATTCATCTATCAAGCACAAGTATTCCACTAAAATTTCTGAAAATATTTTACTGCCTTAACCTTAAAAGAAACTAAAAATAAAAACTTCAACAGTGCAAGTTCAAACAGTATGTTGCTCCCCAAAGCCTGGAGTTGCAGACTGGAAAGGAGCCATCGAGTCTGAAAACTTCCTTGTCTGTCACTGACCCATTTCTTATTGTAGATTCTGACTGATGCTACTTGAGATTAATTTGGATTCAGAAAGAGAGGAAAAGGACTATCTATTTAAAATATAGGGAGGGGAAACACTTCAAAGAAGCATTTCCTCTACATGACTGCTCACACTATTTTTTAAAAAGGAGCTAGCAGTTAAGCAGCAGCAGAGTAACTGATTATCAAATAAGTAAATGAAAATTCCTTCCTTGGTCTACCTACCAGTGCTTTACCAACCCATGCCAGAAGTCTGTAAATTTCCTGTGTCTGAGCTGTTTATGGAAAAGTTCAGATTTGAAACAGGTAAACCCAAATTCATCATCACACTAACAACCTTTACTCACTTTTCACATCTGTAGGATAGCACACTGAATTGCACCCAGCAATCACAGAAACCCACCTGCAGGTTTGTTCACTCTAATAACTGACTGATTATAAACATCTGCAAGTAATTATATTCATTAACATTACACAGCACATGACATGCACAAGCCTATACTGCTGCTGAACAGTGTTTATCATCAGGTCAAGGAACAATTACTCATAACAGTGTCTGGCTACAGTAGATGTGCTGGGTACAGTGAAATGCAAGGGCAGAAAAACTATTCACTATGAAAGGGCACGACCCTTGTGGATTATGTACAATTAACATGGGCAGGAAGGTTACACTGACTGACACAAACTGAGAACACTTAAACCCAAGTGCAACAAGGAGATCAAGGAAGCTGGGCCTGTAGGAATTAAGGGAGCAGCTCGCAGTCTCCTCAGGAAGATTTGAGTCCCAAACAGAGAGAACATAGATGTTAAGAACAGAGACAGGAAATCCACAAAGTTACCTCCCTACTTTACACTTTCTTTACAAGCAGAGGTCAATGGATGGTAAGCCACCTCCACTATCCATCTTATTTTAAGACAAGTAACATGCACTCAACTCATGACTGAAGAGACACAGCATGAGAACAGTAGTCCAGAAAATACTGCAGGACATGCAAATAGAAGGGGACAACTTATTTGCATAAATTCTCCACACTCAGCATTTCAATGAGGAAAAAGAAAATCTATTATGTGTCTGCAATCTGTACCTAGATCATGTGAAGTCAGATTGGCAGCTTCTTTGCAGTGATCTTTCATCACCCCTTGCACCAGCATTTATGAACTAGAATCTTTTAAAATCTATCGTCTTTCTATCCAAAGGCCACTTGAAAGAATTAAAGCAGCCACACAATGAACAGATAGGGCACACACATACAAAAGTTACACTTGCTTAAGTACTGATCTTTATACACAAGATGTCCTTTCATAAGAAAGTGTAAGCCCTGGCTCACTGCAAAGGTACACTAAGAATAAATGTAAATTACACTCCATTCTGCAACACCTTACCTCTCCCTCTGTATTGAATCATTGTCATTTAGGGCCACTGCTCATAGGTACAATCTCCATGCTGCATAGGTAGTTGTCCCTACTAATGCCTACTCCTCACAAGCTCTGTTACAGTGTCATATTTCATCTTTTACATCAACAGGAAAGACTGATGTTTGCCTTACCTTTAAGATACCCCTGAACCAGTCAGTAAGAATTTGCAGAGCTGTCTCCGTATCATTTCTGACACTAATTAATTTCTTCATTTTAGCACTCCTGTAGTTAAAGAACTGTTGAAATGCCTCTTTGGAGTCATCTGCTTCAGAAATTTGACCATAAACAGTCTCCAGAGAAGCAGACAGTTCCTGTGCATCAAGTGAATCAAACAAAAACAGGTTTGCAAACCAGAATTTGTGACAGTATACTAGCTATAAAAACCAAGACATTTAACACAGAAAAATGTTAGCACTACCTGTTAGCATAAAATTAACTCTACTACAAAAAAGTCTCCTTCTATATCCAGTGAAGTATACTTTATATTACTTTCCTCTCAGATCTAGTTGCAGTATGGCTACCAGAAAACACAATGTAGAAAAGGATCTCACACAGAAATCAGAAAACAGATAAGGACAAGACACCACAAAAAGCTTAACAGCTCATAAGAAGCATTTGTATTCTAGTTTCCTGTTCCCTAGGATTGGACTTTAAAGTCATACTCAACAGGACAAAGAGCAAAATGAGGTTCAATTTATAACACTCCTCATAGAGCTGCTCAAATTCAGAAAACAAAGTGAACTTGTACTAAGAAACAAGCTGAGCAGCCAGGTACCAAAGAAATGCTTCTGGACTGATCCCTCCCTTCAGAAGTCAAATCTCTTGTGATGCACCTTGTCATCACACTGATTCCCAGATGAAACAACAACTGCCTATGTGTCTGACACCTGAAGGCCCTTTCAAACAAGTTTTACAGCCTGTGAACTTGTATTTTCATCTAAAAGCCAATTATTCCACAAGTATATGAAGCAAAGGGTCCACCTCCTTTTGATTTGTACTGGAGAAGAAACTGAAACACTACACATAAGGGAAAGGCATTGAGGCTAAAGCTCAGGGCAAACAGAAACCACTTTTAAACAAAGGGCAGTCTGTCAACCCGAGAAACAAGTGGGGCCAGGGAAGAATCTATCAGTTATCAGTGGAGACAGTGTCCTGACAGAAAGTTGCCTTCCTTGCACCCGAGTGAAAAGTCACATGCTGAAACTTACTTGAGCACTACATTGGCCTTCGCAGATGATTTGCTGTTTGAAAGAGAAAATTCTCCCTAAACAGTGGGATTTAGAATAGACTAGACTATTTCAGTTGAAAGGGACCCACAATGATCATGAGCCCAACTGCCTGACCAGTTCAGAGCTCACCAAAAGTTAAAACATGTTCTTAAGGGCATTGTCCAAGTGCCTCAAACTCTGAAAGGTTTGGGGCATCAACTGACCCTCTAGGAAAGCCTGTTTCAGTGTTCAACCACCCTCTCAGTAAAGAAATGCTTCCTGATGCCCAGTCTAAACCTTCCCTCATACAGCTTTCAGCCATTCCCATGCATCTGATCACTGGATTCCAGGGAGAAGAGCTCAGCACCTCCCTCTCCACTTATCCTCCTCAGGAAGCTGTAGAGACCAGTGAGGCTGCCCCTCAGCCTCCTTTACTCCAAACTAGACAAACCCAGGGTCCTCAGCCACTCCTCATAGGACACTCCTTCCAGCCCTGTCACCACCTTTGTTTCCCTCCTCTGGATGCACTCTAGTATCTTCACATCCTTCTTAAATTGTGGGCCCCAGAACTGCCCACAGTACTCACCGTGAGGCCGCAGCAATGCTGAATACAGCAGGATAATCATCTCTTTTGACTGGCTGGTTGTGCTGTTTGATGCACCCCAGGGTGGGCTTTGCCCTCCTGGGTGCCAGGGCACTGCTGACTCATGTTGAGTCATTGCTGTCAGCCAGCACCCCAGGTCCTCTTCTGAAGGGCTGATCTCCAGCCACTCTTCTCCCAATCTATACACTTCTGCCTGGTGTTACTCCATCCTAGGTGCAGAATCCAGCAATTTGACTTGATAGATTTCCTCCCATTAATCATAGCCCAATGCACCAATCTATCTAGATCACTCTGCAGGGCCTTCTGTCCCTCAAGAGCCAACAGCAAACTTGTTAATGGGTGCACTGAACTCCTGCATTCCAGATCATTAAGAAATATACTGAACAGAACTGGCTCTAAAATTAAACCCTGTGGAGGCACTGCTGCTGCCCAGTTGCCAGTCATTCATTACACCCCTTTGAGCTCTGCCCTTCAGCCAGTTCCTCACCCAGTACACCATCAACCTGCTCATCCAACAGCTGGACTTGTCCAGAAGGATATTGTGAAGGACAGTATCAAAAGCCTTGCTAAAATTCAGAAAAATTACATCCACCACCACCTTTCCATCCACTAGGTAGATGACACTATTATAGAAGGATATCAAATTAACCTTCCTTTTGTGAATCCATGTTGACTGCACATGATTGCATTATTCTTTAAATGCCTTTCAATAGTACCCAGTATAATCTCCATAATTTTTACAGGAACTGAAGTTAGACACTAACGGGGCTGTAGTTACGTTGTAGTTCCCTCACACCCTTTTTATAGGTTGGACTAACACTGGCCAGCTTCCAGTCAGCAGGGACCTCCCCACACTCACAAGATGTTTGGCAGATGATCAAGAAGGGTCCTGCCATAACATCCGCTACCTCCTCCAGTGCTCTGGGATAAAGTCCATCAGTACTCATAGACTTGGGAATGTTCAGCTGATACAGCTGGTCCCTTACAGTTTCAGTGTCCACAAATGGAAAGTCTGAAACAACTCTGGCCAGATCCAACTCTAATTGAGCTTTGGCCTTTTGTGTTCTCCCTGCATAAATGAGCCACAGCTCTGTACTCTATTTTGTGAAGCCTGACCTTGCCTCCAGAGATCATAAAAAAAGTTTATTTTTCTTCCTGAGCTCCATCAGTAGTTAGTTCCCTGTTCAGCCAAGCCGGTCTTCCACCCTGCTTGCTCAACTTAGGACACAGTGGAATTGCCTGCTCCTGTGCTTCTAAAATTGTTGTTCTTAAAAACTGACTAACACTCATGGACTAAGCCCTCAACAGCAGATTCTCAGGGTACTCTGCTAATTAGATCTCTGAATAGCTTAAAGTTTGCTCTCCTGAAGTCCAGGGTAGCAAACCTGTCCTTGTGCTGTCCTTGCTTCTCATTACACACTGAAAATTTTAAACACAACCATTTCATGATCACTGTGGCCAGGACAGCCACCTACCATCACATCCCTTACAAATCCTTCTCTATTCACAAACAGCAAATCTAAGAGGGCATCTTTCCTAGTTGGCCTAGTACCTGTGACAAGATGTTATGACCTACAAACTTCAGTAATTTCCAAGACCTGCTCATCACAGCAGTATATTCCCAGTTGATGCCCTTATGGGAGATTTCAACTTTCCTGACAAGGGCTACCGATCCAGAAATTTCTCCTAATTGCCTATAGAATAACTCATCAGTGCTTAAATCCTGGCTGGGTGATCGGTAGTAGACACCCACTCCCAACACCTCCTTTGTTTTCAATCCCCCTAACCCTTACCCAGAAACTCTCAACCACATCACCACAAACCCTAAGCGCTGTACAATCAAACCTCTCCCTTACGTATAGTGTGACACCTCCACCTCGCCTGCTTGGTCTAACCCCCATAAACAGCCTGTAGCCCTCCATTCCAGCACTCCCAGCATAGAACTCCTTCTACCAAGTCTCACTAATACCAATGAGATCGTAGTTCTGGGAGCTATCAACACTTGCAGTTCATCCTGTTTGCTTCTCATACTGTGTACACTGGTGTACAAGCATTTCAGATACACTCCCAGGAGCGGTGTAAATGTTCTCATTAGGATTGCCACCCCCGGGCAACACTATGCCAACCTCTGGCTTACACACTGCAATCCTGTTGGTATCCCCCCTTTGCCCTTCATTTGACAGGAGGAACCTGTGGTTTTGTAATAAATAGCATACACGACCGTTCAAAAATCCATCATAGTACTTACCCACATCATTCCCAAAGTGACTAAGAAACCCTGAGAAAGGTTGCTGATAGTTGCTTATATACAGCATTTCACTTTTTTTTTTTCTTTTCTCAGATCCCAAAACATGAGTTAAATATCACAAACCTTTCCAAAAAATGCCTAAGTCATGCAAATGAAGAAAAAAAACAGAACACCTCTCTCAAAGAGTTTTCATCTTTGCATCCATTTAGACTCAATAGCCAACGGAAAAAGCAGTATGATAGAACTTGAAGTCACCTGTCAGGAGCCTTTCAGGCACTTGAAACACAGAGGTCATATGATCAACCCAATATAACTTGAAGCAGAACAGGCTGACACTACCACCACAGGCCAGAACATAGCAGCAATGCCCTCCCCTTGCTGAGGACTACAGATACTGCAGAGGAGCTTAACCGGTTTAACTACACATGATGATGCCACAAACAGGCCCCTGCTCTACAGATACAGCACAGCAAAAGTTCAGATTCGGGCCAAAAGCATAAAAATCTCCTGACATTCTAAGTAACTAAATACAGTGACAAAAATCCAGAAAACCAACAAGCACTGCCAAACAGTATTTTATAAAAATTATAAAACCACTTTCAAAGCAATAGCTACTACAATGAGCAGCATATTCAGTACAATCAATCATTTAAAACATCAATTCCTAACTGCACCAAGTGACATGAGCTTTGTACAAATACGCTTGGTCCATAAGCTAATACAAGGAGGTTTGTGCTAAATTTATGGAGGCTACTTAAATCATTCAAGTGCACAACAGATTTTTCTCACATTCTTTTCTTAACAGCTGCATTTTAATACACACGGATAGAAAACTGCACAGCAAGGAAGAAGCCAGGTTCAAAAGAACAGTCTGAAGGCAGAGGAAAAAAAAACAATCAGCCTATAAAACAGCAGCCAAAAGTGGGTAACAGAACTGAGAAAAGTGCTCTGTAGCAGTTTCATATCCAGTATCACACCTCGTTTACAAAAATAATAGTACTAGTCACACCAGAAAAGTATCTGCATGCATTCCATCAGGCTGTCCTCAAGGAAAGAATCCTGTAAGTTACATCCCATTTTTCATACTATAAACACACTTCCCTAAAGCATTAGCAACTTCACCAGCACCTGGATACAGAAGTCAGCTCCAGCAGGAAAACAAGTTACCATCTGAAGACACCTCAGTGGCCCACATGCACTTGTCCCAAACGCTATGTGTAAGCGAAGTTAGGAGGAGCAGAACAAGCTACTAAACACTACCCATGGGACAGAGGGAACATGCTCACAGACAGCTAACACAGAACCACTGACAACTGCTCAGCTCCCACCCTAGCTTGCTTCACAGTAACTGATGTGTATGCCCACACTCTCAGCCTTCTTCTTGACCAATGCAGTACTATCACTTGGTAAGCAGTTCACTGTTTATTTTGGTCCTAACTAGTTGAAACAGCCGCAGCTGAAGCTGTTGGAATCTGTAAGCTCAGGCCAACAGTTCTCACTGGAAGGTGTAAGACCTAAGTCAGAAGAGATGCGTGATGCAGAAGAGAGGTTTGCAACACACCGTGCCTCAGTGAGAGAGCCATTAGCTTCCAAGCTCCTGTTCTTAGAGATAGTGGAAAAAACTATTGTTTCTCTAGGACAGCACAGTATGATCTCTTCAGCTCTATGAAACTGCAATCAAGGTTCTCACTGATACTTGATAAAAACTTGTTTGTTTCCCTACTTAGGAGAACTATTTTGATCTTCTAGCTGCTAATACAAGAGATAATCATCAACACAGTTAAGCTAAAGCACAACATTCACTCAACACACCTAGGAGCATTTCAGTACTCCTTCAAGTATTTTCAAAAAACTATTAAAATACCACTGCAGTATGATTAGCTAGAAGATGCTTAATGCCTACCACCTAGTGGATTAACATAGCATAACCTTTAAACACACACCAAAACCCCACAACCACAAAAAACAGAAAAACCCCAGACGATACGGTACAACTTCCCTCTGTCTGAATGAAAGAACAAGATCCACACAGGACCTCCAGAGATAGAAATCCATAAAATACTACCTATCCAGTATCTTTTCCAATTAAGACACCAATCTGCATATCAGACTAGAATCAAGAAGTAACTGTATCAAAAACGTTTTTCTGAATAACATTGAAAAATAATTCCATTAGAAATGGAGTAATTAATTCCATAAAAATCTGAATGCTTCCATTTATTAATGTTGCTCCAATCTGATACAAACATAAGTGCAGCCTGTAATCATGCTAATTTCTCCTAAAAATCCAATCTCACATGTGGACAAATACATCTCCGGAATTTGCACAGACAAGCTGTCAAACTATTGCCAACCTTCTTCCCCTCTCCACACACACTTGCACAGACAAAATAAAAGCAAGTAGTATTTCTAAAATTAAAAAGATAAAATTATTTCTAACAGCAAAGGCCAGAAACACCAACTTGGTGTTTCTAATGGAAAGTCCTCTTCAAAAGTTCTTACTGCCTTTACAGAGACTATTTCCCCATCTACTTCCTGTTACTGGGTTGGCTGTGAGGGAAAGACACTCTTGGTATAAACACAATTCTGTAGTGTTTAACTCTCACCTCAAAACATTTTACAGTTTGCTACACTAGTCCAAACTACACAACCACCTTAACAAAAAGTTTGTCTCAGAAAGCATATAATCCAACCACAAAACCCATTACCAGAATTTACAAGATAACTGCACTGACTTTGTAATTGTAGGTTCTCTCATTAACACCTGTCTTATACTAAATATTCTGTGCTTTGTGAAGTCACCAAAGACAGTACCATAAGAAAAAAAGCTACTGCTTAAATACAGGATCTAGATAATAACTTGCCTCTAGAAACAAAACATCTGAGACCAAGATCACAAGTAACACTGAGAACTACTGGTGTCAAATGTAGAACTTAATTCAGAAGTGTTATCTAAAATTCCACCTGCTGCTGTCGAGGTCTCCAACTATGAAACACTTAATATTTATGAAAGACCCTCCACAAGTTCCCAGTGTTTCAGAATCAAAACTGATAAAAGCAACCTCCTTACTTGTAATGTTCTTGAGCGCTCAGAGAGGGGCAGTTGATCCACTTCCAAAATGAATTCTTTCACTGCTGAATACAATTTCTGCTGCACCTCATCTCTCTTGATTATCAATTCATGTCCTTCATCCTATGCAGAAAGAAAAGCAAGTCAGCAGCTCACACCCAAACACCACATACACAATATGGAAAGTCATACAAAAAGTGTTAATCCCTGTGAAGTACAAATAGCACAATACATGCCTGACTAGGATGAGTGAAAAAGCAAATTTTGTTTTTAACCTCTACTCCTATAATAATGACCACTGTGCAGAAATACAGCACCCTTTACAGTATAAAAATATGCCCACATTATCAGACAACTGAAGAAACACTGCATGACTGTTGAGAACGATGGGAGTCCTAATCGCCACTGTAAATTTAAAATACCAGGGTTGTTCTGCAGTTTTTGACTATATGACAGAAACTAGAATTTGGATTATCCACACTCCCATATACATGCCAAATCACATCCACAAAATCAGACTGCAACGGATTTCTTGCTGGAAAAAAATACTTTAACATCAAAAAAAATCCTTCTAAAAATTTTTTCCTTGCCTTCTAGCAAGAAGGAGAGGCAACGTGTAAATTCCCTGCTGATTGTCGGTGGTAAGATCATTAAACTAAAGATAATTTTCTAGAAACAAGAACCGTTTCCCTTGGATGACTAGCAGGATTATTTCTGCTAACAAGAGAGGAAACCCCGCATTCATATCACACAAGGTACCGGTACCTGACTCGCCAAAACCAAGCATTTTGAAATGGATGAAGCAAGCTACTCAGAAGTATGTTTGCAGTTTTCTTTTCAGTGATTTAACCCAACATGCCCCCAAAAATATGAAAATATATATGAACATGGAAGACCATGCTACAGCTTTACAGACCTGCTGTAAAGATTTGCTATTCCCTCCTACATGCATCTCCAAAAATAAAACTAAGTAAAATGACTCAAGTATCTATAACATACTGTCTTGACATGCATTCCCTTCCCCACACGGGGGTGGGGGAGGAGTCTTGGAAAGTCTAGCATGGAAGGCAATTAGTAAAGAAACAGAAAAAAAACATGGCAATAATACCACTTTCACATTATGTCAAATGAACACTTCCTACTAACAAGCAATATATAATATAGCTAATATGTATACACAAACACAGGTTCTCAGAGTATCTAAATTTAGTTTATCCAATGAAATCTTATAAGTTGACTTAATCAGGAGTAAGTATCCACAGAAGACTGAACAGAAGCCTTCTGCCTCTAACAGACAGCAGAAAGAGATGGACAAACACCACCTAAAAATAAAGCCTCAAGTTGCAGCATACACTGCTTTAAAACTTCTATTGGCAACTGAACAGATGTTGTAATTCAGCCAGACATTAGTGGGCTGGAGAATAAAAATTAGTGGATTAAGTTCTACTATAGAAGCTGAACACAACATGATGCATCAGCTCTGAAAAACATGAAACACCAAAAAAAGATTTAGTAGGCACTTCTGCACTTTTTGGGTACCTCTGGTGACCAAAAGCACATACAATTTTTACAAGACTTCCTGCTGTTTTTCCTGCATAAGACAGGAGCTAGTTTGTAATGTACTGCATAAAAAGGACTAAGGACCCCTTGTCATAAAGAACACTTTCCAAGATGAGATTTCTGCAGAATATTACTTCAAAAAGTAGAGCATTAGAGACTTAATGTAGTAGAAGATTCAGTCAGGCAACCAAATTCCAATTAATACCAGTTCAAGCACTAGAGTAAATTTAGCAGTCTACACATGACTAAATGACAATCCAGGAACTCAGACAGATTGGGAGCCACAAAACAAGTCTCTTTCCAATGTCTGCCATTTAACTGGGTACATGTGACAGTTCATGGCTCAGATAATGCCTGCTAAACAAAAACTTCAGAGAGCATTAAGAACACAGACAGCATTTTAACAGTCTGCTTTACAAAGCTGTAAGCTCATCAAAAAAGCAAACAAGATGGTAAACTAGCTTGATATTTGGTATGACTGAATTAAAACGGGCTAAAGGTTTCTCAAACTACTAAAGTTAGTTTGTCTGGTCTACCTTATACCTCAAAAAAAACCCCAAAACAACAACAAAAAAACCCCAACCAAGAACAAACTAACAACCCCACACAAACAACCACCAGACTCAAGTCATATCAAACATCAAGCTAGTTTACCATCTTGTTTCTGATAACTCTAGCAATGCTTAAGAAAGTCCATCAGAGCAGGATAATCCAACCACCGCATCAATGCATTCTTGTTGAAGTCTGATTTAATGACCCCATAAGAGAAAAAACAAATTTAATAATCCCCCTCCACGGGTAAATTCTAATCCATTTGTAGAGCCTACTTCTACTTTTGGCCCCAGTTTGAGTCCCTTTAGCACAAGTTACTACTTTGCAGCATAAGGATAGCTAAAACTAACTCTAGCATCAACATCCTCGTTAAACAACTCTTTTTATCTCACCCACTTTTTTTTTTTTTTTTAAATGAGCAACTGAATAGTTCCCCTTTTTTAAACAGCATGATTTTTTTCATCCTTTGCACAAAAAAACTGCTGAACATGTACACTACAGTCTCCAATAAAGTAAATATTGACTAAGTTTCTAAATCAAAATCATAAATTAAACAACACATCCATAAAACACTATCTACAATGTCAGTTGTATTAAACTGTATTACTGACACAAAAGTCAGTTGTATTACTATGAGTATCTTCTACATTGTAATCATAGGAACTTCTATCTATCCCTGTTTTTTCCATCTGTAAAGCTGGCATCCTCTCAGTAACATTTTATCAGAGAGCTGGTTAAGTGATCAGCACCACTACCTTCCTATTTGGACACAGAATTTACATCGAATTCTATGATTAGTTTTGAATGTATTTTTAAACATTTCTACTCCAGGAGAACCCTCTTTGTTATTTTCATGCACACCATGTCCCAGTACCACATCAGTTCACTGATTATCTTTTTATGTTTCCAAGACATGTGGAACATAAATACCTTATTAAGAACAAATGCTCTGGTCACCCTTCTTCATTTTTGGGACACTATGCAGGAGAGATCCAGTTAAACTAGCATAAAACAATTAAGAAAGCACAGGCAATGGAAACTGAAATAACACCATTTACTCAAACTTCACTGTGTTTACTCACACCTGTGATATTTAAGATGCATTAGGTTTCCCCCAAAGCAAGACAAGATGTTAATTCCCAAGAGCTTACAAACAAGTGAGGCTTGTAACAGTCAAAGTGGGCATCAGTACTCCAGGGAGGTTAAAGGAAGAGCACATTGCTTGGGCAACCAAACAGCAAGAATTAACTCAGCAAAACCTATCCAGGCAGCTACGTTGACAGCTTAAGCAGAGTTAGAACAGTCTGCTATAATAAAATATCCAGCTATTTCATCTGTTTGGGTTCACTGGGCTTCCTGTACATTGCATTGACATGTACCTCATTTTAACGAAGCAGGAAACAAGTTAGTAACATTAACACACTCGGTGGCACCATCAAAACTACTTGTTGGCCTATCTACAGTTCAGTATAATTTTAGTAAGGGTAACAGGCAGAACAACAAGCACACCCATCTACTGTGTGCATCCTGGACACTTCTTAGATTTGAAAACAAGTAGCCAAGATTATGTGCTGTAACATGTCACAAAGATCTTCAAAAATCAAAATTATTATCAAGGAAAAAAAAGTTAAGTCACTACACCGCACATTAAAACAGGACAACCTTTGCAGTACCACAAGTCTAGCATGATGCCACCAAAACTCTTGTTCTGTACCCTTCACCTACGAAAGTCTTCAAGACACTTAAGACAAATTCCCTAAGCGCTTTGCCATGTCCTGCTTCCAGCTGCTACCAGTTCATCTTGAAAACTAAATTAATTCTTCAGGGAGCTCTACACTTCCACACACATTTCCACATGCATACCCTCTGCAGCATCCAGGCATTCTAGGGGATACCCGACATCTCACAGAACTCCCGTCTTCATTTTTTCCCCCATTTCAACTATTTGTGATGCTACTATGACAACTTCCTCTCTTCAGAAAGCAGGACTTTTTTACAACTGCTTGCTCTTGGAAGTCGCAAGATTTCATGACCCCTTTCGTTTGCACCCTAGTTTAGGCAACCAGGAACATCACAACAGGCAGGGACGGACACACACACACACACACACAGGGGCAGTGTTGTGGATTTCTGAACAAAAGGAGTTTTCAAGCCATATGTGAGGCCACACCTTGTCAACACAAAGGAGGGTTACACACACACAGACACACAGCCACCAGAAGCAGTGCTCTAAGCTCATTTCAGCAGTATTTCAACTATTTTGGCAGTGTAACACACTACACTGCATCATGCAGACATGACTTCATTGTTAGCCCGTCACAACAGAAACGGGCGTTAACATCCAGATTGTTTAACATATTCCAACAAATCAGCCCATGAGAAAAACCTCCTCTTTAAGAATGAAACCTCTTTTCATGATGTTTCTCATAGAATAGTGCTTGCTAGGGTTAGCAACTCAAAAAGAAAAAAAAAAACAGCCAAAAAAAACATCAGATGCACTGTCACCTGAATGGCACCAAAGGAACCATCTCCTCTACTGATTAAACATTTTGAGACTCCCCAAAGTCTGCACCTGTCCTAACTTCTTGTCCACATTAGTTTTCTTTCACCCTATCCCCAGTCCAACCAAGACAAAGCAAAACCAGACAACAGGGCAAAAATAAGTTCTAAGACAGCTTTGCTTTACTTGTCTGCTGTGGCTCAAGAAGGTTTACCAACACACTTGAGGTCAACCATCCCATGCAATCTCCAGAAAACTGTAACTGCTATTTCACAGGGTATCAGGAATTCACCCAGGGAAAGCTTGTGCAAGTGAATCCCTAAGCAGCCCTGGCTCCTGGGTACCTCACAATCTAGCTGTTTTTCTGCATACTATTCCCCTATACAAGATGCAACACTAAAATGTCATCTGCTTATTAACATTTATCTTAATGTTGTTCAAATTTAAACATTTGACTTTTCTATAGGTGAAATTATTTTGTTTACTAAAAACAATTAAACATACGCCATGCTATGGATGTTTTAATACTCTTCCCAGCACAAGCAGCAGAAACAGAACTTAACTTGCGTTCTCCTCATGGCTCATTATTTTCTAGTCCATTTCACAAGCCATTAAATTCAGTGTAATACAGCAACACTTCTTAAGCAAACATGTTTTAGGTTCTACTTGAAGACAGTCACATCGCATTTGCTGTCATTCTCCCAGGCACACAACCACCACCCCTCCCCGCCATCCCCAGGCCGGGGAACCCTCCTGCTCCCAGAAGCCGCCCAGGAGCATCCCGAGCAGCACAGCCGTACCCGCACACCCAGGCAGGCTCCTGCAGACCTGACCTGTGTTGCAGAGAAGTTGCACTAGATGGCAGCTTTCTCCTATGCAAGTCCATCTTCCTATACACCCGTATTTGCCTACCGCTCTCCCCGCAGGAGGGAAGCATATACTGGGTAGTGCCGTGCTGCTTTAACAAAAGGTTTTTAAGACAGACACTGCAGCTGCACAGCTGAAGAGCTTTCTAACTATTACAGAACAGAAACCTTTTAGCTGCCATGTTCTGATTTCCTTATATTTCTTTACAAAAACCAAGGGTGTCAAAAAGTCTAGGTTTAACAAAAAAATAACCACTCCACAAATACATTAGTTAGTTGTGCAAAGGTAGCAAAGCCTCCAACATTGTCTAGCAAAGGACAGATGTTTCCATGTGGTGCTCATGCTATCCAGCTACACGTTTAAGACTACAATACTCTATCAATAGTTGTTAAAATTATAGCTCTTGAGAAAAAAATAATTCCAACCTACCACATTTCTGCATAACTGAATCCTCTCTTGAGCCAAGTCATACTCTGTCCAGATCTTCTGCAATTTTTCCAAAGAACATGGAACAGTGAGACATCCCTCTGTAACAACTTCTATGGCTTGTGACAGCTGATCCACAAAACAACTGTTCTTAGCTGTGTGCCTAAATTGTAAGGGCAAAACAAGATTTTACCAGGACTTTTCTTCCAGAACTCAAGCAGTTTAAAAATCAATGCTATTCACACCCCTTCAACATATAAAGTTTGAGATAGGACCTGCCATGTTAACAACCTAGTTTCTTTCAAAAGGTAGCAGCAGCAATCTCTTTCAGCTGTTAATCTTTTTCTGGGGAAGGACCAAGACGACATTCATTATACCTCATCATTGATAAGGCTGTATGTGGAAATTCTCTCCTGGTCTTAAGTTTCCTTTTTGCCCCATTTCCTTTTTTTTTCCCACTTATCTTCCATGAACATAAACACCAATATAAATATATACCTTCTTAAAAGAGCTGATGGTCATTTCTATTTCAAGTCTTCTCACTGCAGTTTTGTCCCTTCTTTTAAAACCAAAAGGATAATCTGAGCTACCCAAAGATACACTTCTCACAGCAATACAGATACCCAAGGAACTCTTGACTACCCAGTTACTTTTAACAATTAGCTGCATTTACTAATCAATATTTTCTTTGAAATGGAATTGAAAGCTCTTCTTGCAACAGCTATGGTAAAGGAACAGAAGTGAAGTTATCTGACAAACACAGAAGCAGTCAAGACAAATTCAAATATGAGATTCCAAAGAGCTCAGGTTTCAGCCTTGCTTTTGGAAAACACTCCCCTCCATATGCAACAATTTTTTCTTACAAAATTAACAAAAACTTCTGGGAAACAAAAAAAGCATGCATGACTTCAAGAGATAAGCAGGTCAATGATAAATAATACTGTTTAAAAAAAAAAAACAAAACACATACCTCCTTTCTTTCAATGACTTCACCTTAGCAGCCAAACTTCTCACTATCATCTCAAACTGTGTACACATGGTTTCCTCAAAGCTTTCAGAAGACTTCCTGGATGCTTCCTTCTCTCTCTGAATTATTTATCATTTTCAAAACAGTGTTTTAACAAAGACAGGTAAGGATAGATCAATAGTCACAGCAGTCAGTCAGGATTACTAACATGCAGATCACAATTCAGACTTTTGAAAAGAAGATCAACACACACATACGCACAGAACTGTCCCTCTGCAAAACACTAACAAAATGCCTAGACAGACATACACACCAATGATGGTAATTTTATTTTCTTTAATAGCTTCTTTTAAGTTAATGGTTCATTTCCTTCCTCTCATTTCAGCAGTGATGTGTTCCAAGTATTTCTTCAATTACTCCCCATTTGCTAGCAACTCTTCAGACAAATGGAATTTTTTCTTCCCTTGTTGAAAAATTCCCACCCATTAGTTCAAGGGAAGTCAAGCCCAGGACCTCATTTAATTCACTGAACTCCTTACTCCCATCACTACCACACCTCAGATCAGTGCAGCAAAACAACAACTGCTCCTGTACGTACAACCATCCTAACCTTCCTACAAGGAATATTCTTAAGACAAAATAAGGAATATTCTTCACTCAAAACCAGTCCACACCACATTAGACTATATTCAATGGGCAACCCAAATTTAAAAGCTTGATCTCATACCACACAGATATTTTTATAAACTCCGCTTGAGGTAATGAAACAGTCTTTCAGACTCACTACATGTTATATTAAAAGAACCAAAAATCACCAAAAAACAAACATAGCAGGATTTATATAGTTTTGTATTTGCAGATGAGCATCCAAAGTCTCATGACTGCAGGGTGTTTTTTTAAGTACTCCTCAAAGCCACCACCACACATCACCCTTCTAAAACAAATCACTGCCTACCATAGTGTTTTTAGCAGGGAGCAAACATTTTCTTACTTTGAAGAACTATCTATAACCTTTTCTTTTGAAAGTTTTCTTGCACTCAACACAAAATAGTAATAAAATATTTGCAGAAAACAGGGTGGGTTTTTTTAAAAAAAATCAGACTATATGGAAGAAATGCTTCTAAGAACTCCTTCCATCCAAGTGTTTTTTCTTAGATGAAGACATGTATTCTGTTGCTTGTTAATTTAGTCTGCACAGAAGTGCATAAGCAAATGGATAATCTGTGCAATGATGGGTTAGTATATGTAGAAACATGGGTGTTCTAGGTAGAGGTAACCCAAGTAGCAAAGCTGGTTATGAGTAGTTTTAATCCACAAAGAAGAAAAAGGAACAGCTGTGTGCAAGTTCAGGTTCAGTGGTCTCAAGGGGAGATTTTCCTTTCGTATCTGTTAAAGAGTTCGCACAGCATTTTCTGAATTTATGCAAACATAGCATCCTTACATGCAATCTCTTCCTACTACTGCTATTTATCACACTTAAAACCATTCACAGCATTTTTAAGCCTATCAGGAACTATTACTAAGTACTGTGCTTCTCAGTGCTGGAAGCTTCCCTTGAAAGAAATATAACCATCTTTTCTATTAAGCAGAAATTAAGGAAATAATTTTTATCCATTTCTCTAATTCCACAGTTGCTGTGATCTGTGATGTTTAGGAATTTTCAGCCCAACACACAGAAAGCTGTTTTTCCCCTCCAAGTGTGTGGAAAAGAAGGCAAGGATTACATCCCTATACGCAAAGGATATTTTTAATCACGACGTGCAGAACTCCACATTCAAACTGAACACCTACACCCAAACCAGTAGCTGCATCAAGTGCAGTAGCAAGGCACTACATACACTAAGGGCAGTCAGAGTCCAACCTGGATTTCAGAACCCACGCTAACACACAGTGACAGCATCTCCCTGTACTAGAGCAAGACAAGTCTTCACTCAAAACAGTTTATTCCTTCTGTATTCCAAACAGTGCATGGCCAAACCTCAGTACAATGAAACTGTAAGAAAGAAGCACTGCCAGAAAACACTTCCAGCCAGGAGAGAAGCATCCTCTTTGCATTTCCACATACCTGAAGTTCACATTTCAGCTGTTGAACTGTCAGTTCTAGTTCTTTCTGCCTCTGCAAGAGATTTACATTCTCCCTTCTGAGAACCTCCTTCTCTTCGGACAGCTTCTGATCTAGTCTTATTTGTGCCAAGCTGGTGTCTGATGCTGAGGTAGAAGCTGCTATTTTTTCCCTTTTAAAAATGAACCAAGAAGAATTAGTTTAGAAGAAAAAGAAACAAACCAAAGTGCATTCTTTCATACTATTGTAATTTCAATAATGACTACAGAACGCCACATCAAAAGACTACAGAAACACCTGCACAATTGTGCTTTACTTCTTCAGAAATCTATTCCTCTCCACACCAGTCCTTACAAAGACTGTTATGCACCATCGCAGAAAAAAAACACATCACCTGAAGACAACCCTTCATATGTTTACACAGTCACTAACTCAAGTGTCTTTCCCATCCAAAAAACATCATACAATACCACGCTGCAGATCCGGTGAAGGTCCATTTTAAGTCAAATCTTCTGTCTACTAAGGAAGCCAGTACTTTAAGGTTAGTGTTTTGCATCCACACCCTAAAAGTTAATTTTATAACGAAGAGGAGTGATGTGAAGCCATCTGTCTCAAGAGTACTGTGACAAAGTACCAAAGCTCTACTAGACCCCACATAAACTTCATCCTCACCTGCATGGCTTTGGTTACACCCTATTTTCTTTCCTTCTCAATTTCCTTTGCAGACATACAATCTCAAAAATGCCTGCAATGTGCAAAAACTTAAAGGACACCGTAACATAGAGAAATGGAATAGAGACCCTGCTGGCTGCCAGCTGCTCAGGCCAGTCGGGATACTTCTGTCTACAAAGCCATCTCAACACTGCATGCCCCCCTCCCCCCCCCAAAAAAAGTAGGATTTTTTAATATCAGATTCAGAGCATATCCATTACTCAGAAAGGAGGGTAGATCAATCAAAATAACTCAGGATGAGGCACTTCACTATACATTTAGACTTTCTGAAGAGCTTCTTATTTCATATTAATGTTTGTTAACAGCATAGACTTGGCTAAATGATCTAATTGTAAAAAAGATTTGGATACTTTGCTGGTATGTGGAAGGGCATGCCCTCAGGTGATTCATAAGTTTAGAGAAACTCAAATTATGGAACATAAGCAAATTCTTAACAAGTTTTTTTGAAGAACATTACTTCTTACACTATCCACAAACATTTGTCTCAGCAGCCTGTTGCCATGGCAACCTAGCAACTGTAGGATAAGTCTCTTTAAAAAGATTTCTGACAACAACTGTAACTGCCAACTTACCACCACCTCTTGTCAATGTAATTACAAGTTGCAGCGACATGGTTATCCCCTAAAAGCTTGCTTCAAACTGTGATTGCTGGCTTTATTTCTTATAAGCACACACTGTTACATTCCCACACAAAATCACCAAAACACGTTTGTCCTGCTAGGTAAGCATACTTTCACATTCCACATTTGTGTCCAGCGAGTTTTTAATTAGAGATAAATAAATAGGAGATCGATACCAAAAGTCTCAAGGACAAGCTTATAGAAATTATACAGTTACTAAAACAAGGACCATTCATTGCACTGCTGATCACTGCAGAATGTGCTAGAGGCCCGACGTCCTGCAACCTTCACACTTTCAACTAAGCTTTCTGGTGTCTTCTCACTAACTGCTATTCCTTCCTTCTTTTTCAAAATCTTCCATTGATATATAATAACAGCCTGTCTCTGCAAATCAAATAAGGAAGCTATCCAACCAGCAACAACACTGATGAACAGCTTTGTACAGATTAATCCCCTAATTACCACCACCACAGCATGCATACACACAGAAACTCACACAGACTTCCCTTCCATGGAGTACCAGTATTACTCGATGCTGGAAAGGCAGAACTTGTATTTTAGGTGCCCACTTCCCCCTCCATCTTCATACGCACACATCCCAGCAACAGAGCTGATCAGACCACTCATACAAAGTTTTCTGTGACATCCCACTGCCTTACTTGTGTGCAAACATACGGTTTCCAGTAAAATTCCGACTCCTTGTGCTGGCAGCTGCTTGGTCAAAGCGCCCTCTTGGGGTGCTGTTCAGCGCCTGACCAGATCTGTTCATCCACACCGGAACTGAAACTTTTGTCTCCTGATGTCGGTGTTGCTTTGGATATACTTTTTTCCCTTCCACATTGCTAGTGTTCCCTGCAGATGTATATTTTTCAGCAAACCCTGCCCTGGCCACCTCTTGTCCAATATCTGTTTTTTCATGCTCTGCCTGGGCAATAATTGTACCATCTTCGTGCTTGGCTTTGTGATGTATTTTTATTTCTTTTTCAAAAACTAGGCTGTTCAAGAACTTCTTCCCCTGTAAAATAAAAATACAGTGAAGTTGTGTACTGGATACTCTGAACACTTTTAGCTGAAATCAGACTTCTAAAAAAGAGAGGACATGTTTAAGACCAAAACCCAGAGAGCTGCACAGGTAAAGCTTATGTTTAACACATTTATTCTGAAACAATGCTCTATCTGTACAACTACAACTGTACCTGTCAATGCCAGACTGGGCCTCAACATCACTAACTCTCCCTCAATGTTCAGCTTTCAAGAATTCAGTATCATTTATAAGTGACAGAAGTCCAAAGTCCCATCAACTCTCAGTGGAAACTGGCAACCAGATTATCCAATCCTTTTAGAGGATACTAGATTACCTGTTTAACAGTATTATACAAAATAGTATGAAAAATATCTGATTTATTACATTGTTTAACAGCCTTTCAATATGTGGTCTCAAAGCTGAAACAGAACATAGCAACAAATGCATTCTTATGTGTACCTACCTTACTGAAACTACTCGTTTAGAACTTTGAAAATAATACCAGAATTGGCAGCAATCAGCTTCATCAGTAGTATCAAAGAAAAACAGCTTTGAAAGACTGAGGAATACACTCCAGACTTTCACAAGACATCTGGGAGAAACTTATCTTTTATTAACAAGGGTGGTTTTGCCCCACCACTTCTGAAAACATGTTGGTTTTGCTGAATATGAGGAAGAGAAGGGGTGGGGGGCAGGAAAGTTACACAGAGCAAGCAAATAAAGCTTTAGCAACAAGAACTGTTTAAAAAAAAAAAAACACCAACAAAAAACAAAGGACACAGCACCACCACCACACAAACAAAACAAATCTCAGAACTGAGAACAGATATTTTCACCTGCCTCAAGTGCTCACATTAAGCAGTGTCAACAGGACACAGGGGGTATCAGGATTTCCTCCAAACAGCAGATGAATACACAAGGCAGACAGGACAGCTGCCTCCTGCCTCCTCCCCCTCTGGCAACTGCTTCTCCCAAGCCACCGACTGGTGAAGGATGGGCAGTGCCAGTTACAAGCCCTGCAAAAGCATGCCATTAAGGCTGTAAATGGTGTCCCAGAAAGGGAGACCACCACTAGTAAAACTCAACCAAGGGTCACCAGTGCCACTCAGAAGGGCTCAAAGCTTTTACCAGTCCTGTTGGCATCAGCTCCTGAGCTTTTCATGTTTGCTGCTGGCCAGGGACAATGAAGGTCTTAATGTCACTCACATTCACCTGCTACTCTTTCTCCTAACCAAAGTTTGTACAGTACCCAGGCAAATGGTATTCAAGCTGCTCATTCAAATAGCACTCAAGCTGTGAATTTATCACAGGTTCTCTGACCAAGGTATTTTTCACTCTGAAGGGAAAGAAACAGAGGTACTTTGTTTCCTCAGCACCAGGAAGAACTCAGGTCAGTCAAAAATAGACGTTAGGCTCTGAAGATGGCAAAAGCATGCTCTAAAAATCAACCCCCTGCACGACCTGAGCCATTCTTGACAAAACCATCTGAGTTTCTGGAGTATGTTGAGGACAACAGGTCAGGCAGTTCTTCACAGCATGCTCTGACTTCACATTGAAACATCCAGCTCTTAGAAGGCTCCTCCTGGTGAAACTGCTGGTATTTGGCAGCATCAGATCCCATCATCTAAATGTTTCAAAATCTGTTACTCACCTCTTCAAACATATTTAAGTCCTGATTGTTCGGTGTCTGCAGTCCCCAGAGTCTGTACTTCTTGGCAACACTTGGACACTGCAAATTTGATGGAATTTCAACTATGTCTGAGGTGTTCAGAATCTCAGAATTTCCATAGTCAATGTACAATACCTGACACTGCAACAATAACGTAAAATACAGAATCAGCAGAGGTTACACAAACCTCATACAGAAATATGCATTGACAACTACTACAAGGTAAGAATTTTAACACACAGGTATGTTGCAGAGATCAGAGTCTTCTGTACTAAGTCTAGACACCCTTCAAAGGGAGAAACCCAGTTAAGAGAAATCTCTTGTGTTGGCACCTGTCTACAAGCTTAGCAACAAAACTTTAAGTAACAAAATAGATCTTTGCTGGTATTTTTTTCTTTTTCCAAGGGCTACAATTAAGAAGCAATATAGAAGACTTTCTGTAACGGACAGATATGTAATCTAATGTTTCCATGCCAACCAGCCTGTCTAGAAATTACCATTTTAAGTAGGAACTACTAGCCTTCTGTATCAGTCACCTAATGCTGATTAACAACTCTTTCAGGTTACCTGCATCAGTGCTAACATGTCACACAAAGGCTGCTATTTTTCACCACTCAGAAGTTTTGAATTAAATTACACTACTTAACAACATTAACTACCACTCACTCCGGAATCTCTTGATAAAGAGATAACAAACAGCATTTTGCAAGTATGTCATGTTTTGCCAGTCTTTTCATCACCATTTTTCAAAATTACAGGTCACTTGAATTTGTGTCCCACACGTATATTCACTGTTTTTAAATGCATTCACACACAGCAAGTTTCAAAAAGAGAAGCTGCATTTTTTCCTATCATCCTGCATGTAGAACTGATACACCATTAAAGATTTTTTTACAAGTTCCTGCCTTTTCCTTTATCACTTGCTGTATCACACATCTGTACCAACATCCATCTTCAGAAAAACAGCCACCATAAATCTGGAAATCAAGAAGAAGAGATCAAAAATTACATCTTGAAAATATAAGCATACCTCAAAATGGTATTTGTAATACATTACAAATCCTATTTTGACCTCTCCTATAACTATCCCAAGAGCAGTATAAAAACACAGTAATGCATTTGATATACTACCTCAATAATATATGCTAATGCCTCAAAACCATAATCCTCTACTCCAAAAACAATAGCTCAAAGAAAATTTCCCAAGTAGAACTACACCAACATTTTACACAGCTTCTTCCATGGCTTTTCTGTTCATGTGTTACCACATTTTATTGACACTGATGGCTTATTAAGCCTGACAATGGAACAAGCCAGTCACACCACAAACAGGCTGGGTTTGCTGTTGGTGGTTTCTTCTTTTTCAAGCAGAACGTAGAAGATCATTTACCTGCACACACAAACGGTTCAGACAATCATTTTATGTCAACCTTACTTTGCAATAAGCCATCAATAGTTCACACACAAAACCAAAAGTTGCCATCACTCTTTGTATGCCTGTCATAGAACTGCCATTAAATAGGCCCTTGTTATATTCTTGCAGAGTATTTTGTCCAGTGCATTTAACAGTACCTTTTTTTGTAAGATCTTCTACACTTCTTGAGGTGGAGCAAAGAATCACTTGTCAAAAAAGCAGTGCTCTCTTGTTAAAGATAATTCATAATGTACACTGGACAACGAAAGAGAATTCAGCATTCTGTGTATTACCTTCTTGTATTTCCCCAAGTGTTAAAAAAAAATCCCTATGGTTGTGTAATTTAACTTAAGTCTAAGCGCAGAAAGATTTAAACTTGCTCGCACGAAATAAGCGTTTTCTTTAGGAAAGCCAGCAGTTTTCTAAAGAGATCTTAAGAGAATATAACCCACATCATAATCAAATATCACCTAAGACAATGATTACATAGGATTAAGGCTTTTACATCCAGGTAAAACAAACTCCATTTACACACAACCTACTTACCTTACTAAGATCAGGTTTGCTAGAAACTGCATTAGCCCGAGGACAAACTTCTGCCAGCATACGACTTATTTTCAAGAGATCCTCAGATCTACTGACATTCTAAGAAGTGTGGAGAGAAGATACAAGTTATTAACTGTCATTTTTAATATAGGCTTGATGGTTTGTAACATCCAAAAATTAAACCGAAAACAGTTGCACTGCTGTTGAGGCAAGTAACATCCCACCTTAAGCTTTCAATCTTCACGATTTTGGTTGCATTTGTAAACCTGCTCTCGTTTTCTTCCAAAAATTCATGAATTGCATCAGGGGCAGGTCATGTACCCGAGAGAGATAGTTTGCAACAAACACTTTTAACGGTTTAATTACCAGCTTCTGTGAGCAGTATGCAGATCTTCCCCCCTCACAAGTTTTAGTATGTATTTGGTGTTTTCTTTCTCTCCCTAATACACGGGGGCAACAGCTCTGGCATACCTCCCTCAATCTTTTCACATGCAAGACTTGGGTTTTCATTTGGCTGAGAAAAGCATTGTCTTTTCAGTTACAACTTGATATCTGAAACACTGCAGAACTGGGTCAATTCCAGTAACATGGCATTATATCAAACAACTTTCTACTTCACAATTCAAAGGAAAATAATCTAGAACTCAGAGCAGTGAAGAAAACACCGCTACAACTAAACTTTTAGTTAACCTTAGAAGTACACTCCTATCTTTTGTACCTTACAATATTAAATATTGTGACTGAGTCACAGAATGCCATGGTATGAACCTAAAGGAGAATTACCTATTACATCTAAAAATCCCTTTATTGGAAGAAGCTACTCCATAAAGAGTAAGTTTGGGCCCCCTCCCCAAATTCAAATTAGAGAGATGACAAGCAGCATTACCTCCTCCCAACTAGCTCGAAGTTAAACAGGTGCCGACTAGTATGCCCACACCAAGCAGCCAGCAGACCAAAAACAAAAGGCAAACTCTGCTACTCCTGGATTTTTCCCTCTCCCTGCTGCACCCCACACGTTCATGAAAACTACTCATCATTTTGTGTTTCTTTACTTTTTCTCACTCCCCTATCCAACACCCTCCTGCCCATCTACACAGAACTTGAAAGGTCCTAGCATCTTTGAACCACATCAAGCTTCAATGAAACTGCCCCAAACGCTCACCCAGAGCAGGAGATTCACCCCCAGCAGGACTCTGACTGCTTCCTACAGTGTTCTGCAGTCAATATTTTAACTGTTTATTTTTTTGGCCTACCAAATATTCCAAAAAACCCAACTACTGTTCAAAAGGATGGCTGAACAATTCTTGACATTTCAGAAAGTAATAACCGATTTTAGTTTGAAAGGGAACAATACTACTTGCAATTCTAAGATCTAAATTAGCTTTTTTCCCCAACATCAAATGCTAAAATTTATTCTCACTTCCACAGAAACTTGCTGGGGGTTGGGAGGGTGATAAAATTAAACACTTCTGTTAAAATAAAAGTTCTCTGAATTCACCTGTGCCCAAAACGTTACAGCATCTTCAACATGGCTGCCAACAACATCTTCAACTTGAGGGAGAAGAAAAAAAAGAATTATTCTCAAGTGTTAAGATTACATATATTTATTTTAAAAACTGCTTCACATTACCTTTGCCATGCTCTGTGTCCCCATCCATGATGACAGATTCTGAAATATTACAAGATATCTATAAAAGAAAAATTCAGGTATTTTTTCCCCGAGGCCCATGGAGCAGGGAGGTGCACCCACCCACCTCACCACCTGTCCCTGCCCTGAATGCACCACAGGCTCACTGCTCCGCGGGCTCCTGCCCTCCTCTTGCCTCACCTCCACGTTTCTGTTATAAATTTTGAAGTCAAAAGCCAAATATTTTTATAATTTTAATGAAGCAAGAATAAACAAAACCACTCGGGGTACGCTAGGGAGTCTCTGCTCCACTTGGGGGGGGGGGGG